ATATTTTTTTTTCCTACATTTTGATCACTGTATTTTATTATTACACAAATTAAAAAGTAAAGTTTATAAAATTATATAAAGTAAAAAAGAAATAAAAAGGATATGAAACATTTGTAGTTAAAATTATATTTTATTGTCACTGTATTCTTTTTTTTTTTTTTTTTTTTTTAAGTTTTACAGTTTCTTGGAACTCACTTTTCACATTCATTGTTATTTTTTTCCCAACATTAATTAGGTTCTATAGTTTTCATGTAGCTCAATATAATAAGATAGATTTCCGTCTTAAATTAGTTAAAAAAATATTTTAAAATATGCTCTAAAATAAAAATAATCATTATTTCAGAAAGATAAAGTTAACTAGAAAAAAATAAAATTAAAGAATCAAAATAATTCTTTTAAAAAGTATAATGAGAATGAATAAATTGAATTACATTTATTTAGCCTAATGACAATAAAACAAATAGCTAAATAATAGATTTTACATCACGAATAAACAAAGGTTACATACAGGGAAGAGAACATTTCTAAAGCAGTGAAGCATGAAAATCCATTTTGTGCATATTCAAGAGGAAATTGAGTCACGTTCAACCTATCATTAGCAAAGTAAAAAAGACAAAACTCACTCTATTTCGATCGAGTTTCTCAATTTTCCGGAGCCCCTTCTATTTATAGAGTGCAAATTATTTTATGTTTAACTTTCTTTTTATTTGATATGTATAGTTGGATTGGACTGCTATCTGAAAATCATTTAAGGAGGCCAAAATTTGATTTATTTTTAGATTTGGGCTGATGGGTTTAGAAGTTCTCAAACTTGCCCAATTTCAAAAAAAAAACATAGCAGAAAAACTTGAGAGAAACAATGGACTCTCAAATTATTCATGGATTGATACATTGAAACAATAAATAAATAAATAAATAATTCAAAGCCAGCCCTTTTTCCTTTTTTTTCCCCAGGTTAAAAGGAATACAAATATTACAAAAGAAAAGGTAATGAAAAAGAAAAAGAATTCACCAAAAAAAATGGATGTTTAAACTTTAAATTGTGTCCGCATTTTTTATTTTGTTGTTCCTAATTTATCTTGTGTTTGTGCAGGTTTATCAGCAATTAATTGCTGCCACGGGCAATTTGGAATGGCCAAATTATTAAACATAGATAGAGTAATGATTGTTATGCCAAATTTAATCTTTGTTTCATATTTCTATTTGAAGACATAGCACGTGAGGAAGACTTCTTACTATTATCTTGGTGAGCCAACTTTATCACAAGTTTTAACGTTTAGATGCTTCAAGCAGGATATAAAATGCCCACCTCTATAGAGTTTCTTTATTATTTTTAATGGAATTGGTTTTGAAGTTGTGATTGATGTTTTTTGATTGCTTAACTCTTGTAATCTTGTAGTCCAATTTGTGTATTATTCAATTTAAACTGCCTGCATATAACTCGATCAATTTCCTCGTTCCTTATTTCTCGTTTCTTTTGTGGACAAAGTGATGAGAGCATGACTTTCTATTCAAGTTGACGAACGTTGGCCAATTGCATAGTTGATCCTAATTTACACAAAAAATAATTTAACTTTTTTTCCTTTAATTTAATAGCTATTAAGGTTCTAAATTATTATCATGAAAACACAAGCACAGGGTTGGTTCTGGGTGTGTAAATATTGCTTTGCGTTTGTGAAAAGGAAAAGTGTTTATAACTTCGTAGTCTTGATTCTTGCTTAAGTAATTTAAAATGATGTAATTTCAAACTATCAAGAGTAAATGATAATATTGACTCATTTTAACACTAAGAGTAAAAACTTGGCATATAGTGGATCCATAATCAATTATATATGCATGAGAGCGTGAATTTTATAAGACAGAAGAAGATGCATATTTGGACAAGAATGAAGCACTCGTGAATAAGGTAGACACATAAGGAAGGAAGAGCAAGCCAAGTGTGTTAAAAGCCAATAGGAGGACAATACCACACATAAGTAAAAGAAACTAACTCTCCCTAATCCAGTGATCAACACACCATCCTATTATATCAAACACATTTTTTTTTTCGTTCAGAAAAGTAATTTCCCTCACAAATCTTTTATTGAAAGTAGTGATTATATATTTGGTATTTATACCAACTAATTCACTTGTTTGGTGATATATGGTAATCTTTGTTTAAGAAGCTATTCATAATTTTTAGCTAATTTTTCCTATAAATAGAAAGATAAAAATGATATAACTTTTTAACAAAAAAAATGTATAATAAAGTGTAAACTTCGAATATCAAAACACAATTGATTAATTGCCCCTTAAACTATATGAATATATTTAATAACGTGGTCCTTACTGGTTTTATATATAGCTCGAATATTTCTTACTTAACAACCAGAAAACTTTATAGCGTGTCCTTGAGGCAGTTGTTAGATGAAATTAAAGATTTGATGAGTTGAGAAAGACGTACGAACAGCTGTTAGCATTTGAATCATAAAATCTCTTTGCATGCATTGGCCAAACAATTCCAAGCACTCATTAAATAACAAAGACTATTTTACGCATTCATTGTAGTTGTACAATGTTGGTTGTGTTTTGCATTGTCTCAATGTACCTGTAATATGTAAACATAAAGGCCATGGCATGGTTATCAATAATTAATCTTTCATCTTTAAAGACCTTCCTTTCAGGACTCACATGAACCATTGTTTAGCCAATCTATTCTTCTTTCTTTTTCTGCACATAAATATTTAGGCCTCAAATTAACGTCAACTCCTGCTTACATTTTTTTGGTAATTACCATAATTATGCTCTTTAATTTTTCCTTACAGTCCTGATGTATTTTTATAAATTTTGTTTATTTCAACTAATTATGAGATTGATTGTCGATAGATAATTTTTTTTATCTATCGAAATTACAACGATATTAAATTTAAATTTAAGATTTTATATTTATTATTTCAATCTCTATTATTAATAAGCCAACCATAATGACGTCGATTTATACCGCTAGAATTTAAACACACATAAAACTTTTTTGTCTATCTCCAAAAAGTGTATTGTGAAAATTAAATTTAGTTCAACGTGTGCTTTAAAATAATTCAAACCCATAGAGTCATTTATTATTATTATGTTTTGTTTTTGGTGTTATTTTTTTTTCCGCTTATTTTTTAATACCTTGCATCAATTTCCTGCGGCAAGTGGAGATGACAAAACAAAAGCTGTGTTTGCATAGTATTTTTAATCATATTTTTATATGATAGAGATAAGAAACCACTTGTAAGATAAAATAAATAATGTGACACTAATAATTTATGATAGAGTACTTTCTAACTACGATCGACAACCTTGGTGGTGGATGTTTTCATTAATAATTAATGATATACTACTTTCTAGTTAATAATTCAAATTAAAGTGTGGAATGTGTTTACTACTTAGTGTATAACATATATATGTTCAGTTGTGGTGATTCTAAGCACTGGACAATCGTTTAAGGTTTCATTTTCAAAAGAATATTATATTTGTTTTTAGTCTATATAAGTATAAATATTAATAAAAAATACTTCAATCCTATTTATAAAACTTAACTTAGAATAATCATTTGTTATTTTATATAAAGCTCAGATTCATATTATTTAATATATTAATTTTTTATATATTAAGATACTCATAATTAAAATGCGTTCTCTTAATTTGATAAAGTTTATTAATTATAAAACTCTTTAAAGAACATACATTCTAATTGGTTAAGAGAAAAATAAGTATAAGAAATGTATTCTAATTAGTCGAAACATGTATGACTATTAATTAAGAAAAAAAAATATAATGATAGTTTTTTAAAATATATATATAAATAAGATTAAATTATTATTAATAATTTAATTAATTATTTTTTCTTAATCTTGACGAATTAGATGGTTGAATTTTATATATATGAACAAAGATAGTATTATAAAAAAAATAATTAATCAATAACAGTTAATTAATTGAAAGGTAATGTTTCTATTTCTTAATAACAAAAATTTGTCTATAATTTTAGAAAAATAAATCAGTAATATTAAATTTAAAGAGAAAATTATAATATATAATATATTATTGACTTAGTTTCTTTTATTTTTTATATCCAAAACCTTTCTTATTGTTAATAAATAAGAGTCAATGTAAACTTTCTCTCTTT